TATTGCAGTTTCCAACACTGAAACTACAGGCTAAGTGTCTCTTTCTTTTTTTCTAAAGTAAATGAGAACCATACATGGACATACACTACCTTTTCTCAAATACACAGACCTAGGGGTAAGAACACATATTATAAGAGAAGCATTATAGAGTCTACAGGAAAACTACTAAAATAGCTTTCTGTGAATATATACTAACCCACGGAGTCCTCTCTGCTTGTTTTAAGAGGTATTTGTTGAGCGTGAGTTGGTAGCACCCCTGTTTAGGGCAGAACTTGGAGCCGTCAGCAGCTCCACCAGCACTTGTTGCTAGCCAGCTATCATAAAAGTGGTGTCTGTGCCTTGGCTGGAAGCAGCAAGGGATTGACCATTCAGACATCTGTTGCAAGACCTCTAGTTGAATACTTGTCAGAGTCTCTTTAAACTAGTTGTTACACTCAGTTGATGAACTCAGTCCTGCAGTCCTTGGGTCACAACAGGAGCTCTGTAGGAGGCAGAGGGGGGTGCTGATTATTGCTATAACTTAAGTTCCCTGCTGGGGAAATCTCTGGAAGAGTGAGCTTCGTTTACTATGTTATTTTTAAGACAGTTTGTAAAAATGCCTCTGCGGTCAGTAAGAGACTGATTTGAATTTTTCTTTGGAGTGGCTTTTTCAGGGAAAAATAGTTTCTTAATATAGAAACTTTTTTTCCCTAAAAAAGCCCAATTCTACATTTATGATCACCTGTAAAACTAATAAACTAACTTTTTACTAGAAATACTATATTGACCAATCTGTACTACCTGAATGGGTAAATACCTCTTTGCTTTTCTTTAACTGGTCTGAAAGGGCTCACTCAGAATTGGTTCAAAACATTGTGTTGGATTCCAGGTGTCCTGGGCTGCTCAGAGAGCTGTTGTCTAATGTACCTGTCTCCTTTTCCAAGGGCCTTGGCCTTGCCATATGACTTTACAGCTCTCCTGGAGACCATGCTGTGCCACGGGACACCTCAGTGTCTCTGGGAACTGCCTTCCACCCAGGGAGTCTGATCCAGAAGTCGGACCAGGGTTATCAGGCTGCCAAAGTGCAGTGTCTGAAGCAATGCAACACTGTGGGAATAAAAGTGGTTCGATAGTCTACTGACTCAGAAGAAAATTTCTCAGGTCAGGTCACCAAACCAAAATGAACTAACTTTGGTTTCAGTAATGTAAAAATATTCCATTCCAAATGACACAAAATGCACTGGTGTTCACAAATGGGTTTCTTTTTTTTTTTCCCTTTTAAACTTGTGAACTTCCGTTCTACAAAGAGTCTCTAATTTCAGTTTTTCTCCCTGAATTAAGATGAGAGCAAATGTTGAAATACTGGAATGTCTTCCTTTCTGGGGAGGAGGCAGCTGATGAGTATGAGCAACAAGTTTCAGGGTTGGGAGAGCTGACTGAAGACCTATAGAGCAGGTGATGGTGGGGCAGATAGGTGATGGAGGGGAGGGGAACACACAGGCAGAAGGAGGAAAGTAGCTGACAGGAATGAGAAGCAGCAATGATGGTTAGAACAGAAGAGTAAGGAGAGAGGAGAAGTTTCTACCTGGCTCCCTGTGCTGTAGGAACTGCTACATTTTTGTGCTGTGTTCTGCTGTTGTCTGTGCCTAGCTCAGCACCTTCAGCTTTGCTGAGTGACCGGCAGACGTGCAAGGTGGTGCTGCACCGAGAGCTCCTGTCAGAGGGAGTTTGAAGCACTTCAGAGGGCAAGAGCTGGGTGAGGTGGAGCTGGAGGTTCACACCAGTGCACAACCAGGCAGTGCTGCATGGTTTCACTTCTGCTCACTCAACAGTTGAGTCCTTCCGGGCTAATCGAACGGAGGGTGAATGCGGGACCAAACGATGAGCATTTTTTAGCTCTCACCCGGGCTCCGAGCAGAGAGCACTGCAGCTCTTGCAGGTTAGAGAATCTCTCTGCCACTGTCTTTTTCTGCAAAGCAGAAAGAACAGGAATACTCTTTTCTCGTGTGACTGGGAAAGGAGCATTAGTGGCTGTTCCTAACACTCTGCAGAGTGTTTATTATGCTGATGCTTTTATTATTTATCAGGTTTCTTCACTTTTTTTTTAATATACCAAATTGATACACTCCATCCATCAGCAATGCCCTCCAGGAATGAGTAGCTAATTAGAGAGCAGGACTTGTGAAAAGACAAACCCGGGTTATGCACAGAACAGGTTTCTCCAGTATTTATTGCCTACGTTACTGGCCAAGCTTCCTTGTAAGTAATAGTCAAATAATCGGCCTGGGTCCTTTTGTGAATGGTTTGAGTCTGTGTGGTCTTCCTTTGTTAGAGCAGCTCATGGTTTCTGAAAGCTTCTGCACCCCCTGTTCTGAACAGCAGAGCCTGGTGGCACCAGCTGCTTCTGCCTGGAACAAACATTTGCATGTGACATTAAAAAAAAAAAAAAAAACAAAACCAATTAATTTCAAAATGTATTTGCTTTTCCTTATCCCCTCATTTTTTCATTTTTCAGCCCTTCTTAAAACTCTCAAAATATTTAAAAGATGAATATATTTTGCTTTTCCTACAAGCACCTTTTAAACAAGTAAAGCTTGACAAGGAAAGAAATCTTTCCTTCAGAAATAAAACAGCAGCCAGTGTTTGGAAATATTTTAACAATAGACCATATGGGAGTCCCGAACTATTAAGCTTTATTATTCAGAAGGCGGAAAATGTGGTTTGATATTCAATTGATATACAGCATAAATGAGAGCCGCAAACTCGGCTCCCTTGAGCTGGGATTCAGATGTTCTCTTGAATATAATAACTAACGCTTTGGCCTAGTTCCACAGAATGCATCCAGCCTGCTGATCACAAGCCAAGAAACTGTAGGCTTTTTTTTTTTCCTTCCCCTCTCTTCTCCAAAGTACTTTCCTCTCCTGCCAGCGTGAGCTTTTGGCCTGAATATAAATCTCCTGATATTAGATGCGTATAGAAAATGGGGAGGATGCTACTAGCACACAGCAATAGAGCTCTGTGTGTGTGTATGTGTGTTTGTTTTTCTTCTGCTTTAATGATAAGGTTTTCCCTTCGTGATGTGCTGTCAGGGGATTACGTTGGTCATCTGAGGTGGGATCTTCTTTGTTCCTGTTTCACTGTTTGTTTCTTAGTGCTGTGGGAGCAGGTGAACATTTTTTGGGGTTACTGTGAAGTGATGCCAGAGACCATGAGTGGAATTTGTTGGAGAGAGATACTGGAAGTGGCTTCAGTTTCTTTCTTTTTTTTCCTGATTTGACTTGCATATATTCATAATTGCCCTTTCCCCTTTCTATCAGGTCTCTCTTAACTTTCTTTTCTATGGGGAAAAGAGCCCATAAAAGTTGCTTATAAAATATTACATATATGGACTAAGATTGCCTATATGCCAGGGGAGACTGATAGTTACACAGATACTGTGATCAAGTAATGACAGGCTGGATCACCCTGCTATTTTTTTGACACACAATCCTTGATTCATTCAGTGTACGGGATGGACCAGCTTTGTCAGTGTGAATGTGGGAGGTGTGGTATGAATAAGGAATTGCAGGGACACAAGAAATGGTCTTGTGGGTCTGACAGTTGAATGTTGCCCCAAAATAGTGAGTTATGTGCAGTCTTTGTCAAAAAGTACCTTTGAGATGCCAGTATCATCCTTGGAAATGACTGAACTATGTCCACTGAAACTTTCTGCCCTATGCCTCTTACCAGGACCCAACTGCCTGGGCACAGACCTCAGGCACAGAAAATCATGCAGGTGGTGATATTGAACAGTCAGGTATATCAAATCAAGTCATATTCGATAACAGCCTAGAAGCAACCTTAACAGAGTATGTTTTGTTTCTGTTCCCTCCCTGTAACTCATGCAACATGAGATGGTTTGGTATATATTTTAAGTTCTAGGTGTTCAAGGTTTTTCTCAGGTTTTTGTGCTGCAGGACTCGACAAGTATCTATAAGTAACTCTCCCCCCAGTTTTGTGACAGATGTCCTTGATGATGTTGGGTCCTACCTTTTCTAGCCTCTCAGAATCTGAAATCAACCCAAGAACCTTCTCTATGGTCTGTGATTTCCCCTGAGTAGGCTAGGAGACTCCAGCATTAAGCTATCTGGCATTTTTCTCTAGAAGTGTGATGAGCCTGAAGAAAAGACTTTCACTTTACACATAAGTCCAGGAATGCCTGTAGAGAATATAAATTATGCGCTCTGAATGTGAAGTTCAGTTTTGGCTTCTGTCTTTCCTCCATTTCTCTTTTCAGTTGTTCATGATAGCTGAAATTTTTAATGTTTTTGTCTCAACCCACACACAAATTTTTTTCCTTTGGGGAAAACTGGAGCAAAAACAATTTTAGTGCAATTTTTCAAGCCTCTTTGACTTGCACCTACATCTGTTTGGTGTGGGGGAGTGGAATTTTATCATAAAACGTTTGATTTATTTAATGTATTCAATAAGCATCCAAGATGTGCCAGGTACTTTCTCAGCCCTTTTTGGATGAGAAATCTTGCAAGCTAAGAACCTAATAAACAAAGAAGCTACAGAACTCAAAACTTCCCCGCTGTTAAGTCTCCATATATCTAAGGAATAAACCAAGTTTGAACAAAACAGATCCAGAGACTTATAAAATAGTGTCACATGCAATACTGATGAGATCTAACTTTATAGGAACAACTATTATTTTACATATTTCTTGATCCTGTTATCTGCCCAACTTGCAACAAACTCAGCTGAGATGTGTCCACGCAGCAGCTCTACTTTCATTGCAACTATGAGTCTATTTTTATTGATTAAGCTATTGCTGTGGTTGTATGACGCTGTGCTAAGGGCTCATCCAAACAGGGTCATTGATTCAGACCAAGGTAAGTTACAAATCTGAGCGGAAGAGCTATTCCCAATTAACTTCTTCATCCTAACAAAGAGGTGGTTGGGAATAGTTAATAAGGAATAGCTGTTCTGGAATAATCCCTTTTTAAGACAAACCCTTACTCTTTCTATAATTGCATTCTAGGAAGCTATTCTGTACTGAATCAGCATGGGATAGAGTGCCTAGAAGACGTTCAGACCAAGCACAGCTAGCGGTGAGTGGGGCAATATATACACCGGGATGCCCTATTGCAACTATTATGAGTGAGCAGAAGAATAGCAAAAGTGATTGCCTGTGCATCTCTCTAGAAGGCAACAGAAAGTATTATATCAAAATCACTGTAAAGAAGGCCTCTTTAGCAGGGATGAAGTATGAGCTACCTGTTACTGTCTGAGCATTAACACCCTGTTACGGACAGAATGCATGTATCAACTTGTACCTGATTACAATTTGATTAAATGTTGGGGCATGGAAAGGACTTGTGTTCTTTTTTTCAGTGTGCATTTACATTATTACGTGGGGAGCAATCAATTTATTAAACCTATCTGATTATTCAGTAGTGGGGAAAAACAGCTGGTCAGAGGAGAACTTGTATTGTCTCTCAGGTGGACAGAAAATCAGTTCAAAAGAAATTTGCACAATCTTTTTTTGAGGAGAACCTACACTAACTAATCAAATAAAGGAAAAGCCAATAATTTATAATGCCATGAAAATTTTCCTGCAGCATAAAATTTTGTCCTTGACCTTGCCAAGGATGGGCTGGAGTAGATGGTGCTCTTATTCTTTAATGCATTGTAGTTGTGATATAGCTGCTGTTAATTCATAGTTCTGACTTTCGAAATTCATCTCTTCCCTTAAAAGGGAGGTGGCAGCCTGGAGTGGAGTAGCTTCAACTGCAGCCCTTTGGATGTTAATCCACCCTGACTTTCTTAAGCCTCCTACTTAAATCATTATCTTAATGAATCACCATTGCTGCTATCTTCAGTGCTACACAGGAACATGCAAATTTTAAACAGCCTGGGGGAGAGACCTTTTTGTCTGCAAAGTGCTCTGATACTCGCATTTAGATGTTGCCATGATAGGTACCTTGGATACTACTTTCTGCCTAACCCCATGGATAGATCATGGGGTATAGTGTATCACCAGTGTATGCCTGCTAGGTGGCTCTCAGGGCTTGCCCCCGAGAGGAGATGGATGCGATTCTTCTACTGACTACAAGAAGCAGCTTTAGCTCTAGCGCTTGAAGCCAGATCCCCGTGCAGGTTTGTCATTCATCTGACTGCCTGTTGGCGATGCTTTTCTTTGGCTGCAAAGTGACAAGGAGTTAAAGGAGTGAGGATGGGGTCCCCGCTCAGCTCTGCAGCTGCCATTTTGACTTTCGGGCAAGTTTCTTCACCTTTTCACTTGACTTTCTTCACAACACAAAGAAATATGCCATGCAAATGTTAATGTATCAACTACATTTTCTCCCAAGTAATTATTGAGAAATTTGATACAGCAGGAGAATTACCAGCTTGCTAGAACATCTTAAGCATATTTGTGGAGGAAAAACTGAACATAGTGAAGACACTGCAAAGCATCTCCAAGACTTTCAGCATTGTGTTGTCCAAATTTTTCCTTGAATTGTCTAGGCATTGAGCTCTACCTACTTCCAGCTCTCCCAGATGAGAAATGTTTACTTGTAGATGGTGGATACAGAGAATGCACCGTGTATAGTTGTTTCAAATGGCAAATCTTTATGGTTATTTGCAATATGCATTGAAAGATTTGATTCCTTTATTCATTACATCAAGAGCTTAAGAAGCTGTTTTACACAAATGTCCTAGATGATAAGAAGTATTCTTCCCAAATTGCAGAGTAAATTAACCCATTATTCCCTTTCTGTGGCTTAGAAAAAGAGCCCATTCCCTTACTATGGGTAACTTTTCCTCATTAGTAATAGTTCTGCTTCTGGAACAATGGCAGGCTAAATGCAGAAGATACCAGGTGAACAGAGGTCCTCTAGTCTCAACTAGGAGAGGACCATATTAACAGAACTGAGCTTAAATGTATTTTCTGTAGTCACATTATCAACTGTCAAATCTGCTGGGAGAGTTATGCCCACAAGAGGCCAGATCATCTATCTCAAGGAGGGCATCCTCATTCTTTCTCAGCTAAATCTTCTCTGAAGCCAGTTGAGCTGGATCTGGATATTTCTAGACTGAGAAACAATGCATTTTCTTGGCTCATGCTAAAGCTAAGTAACATTTTCTCAATTGGTTACCTAAGAAAGGGGATGTGAGCAAACAGTACATGCTGACTTTTCGCAGCTCAAGTCCTGGACAGGAATCTAGTGTGAGGCAGATATTAACTGCTTCCTTACCCATTTGTGCACACCTTCCTGGACAGCAGCAAGTAACTAGCCCTGTGCCTCAAACTTTTTTTCCTGCCTGGTGTAGCTCTGAACAGACTGCCACTTTCTTGCAGTAGTGTTCGACACTTTTTGTAGGGTGCTTTACAATGATAACTCTTCTGCTCGTTGTGAGCAGACTGTTGTGTTTTCTGTATTCAAGATCATAGCTGGTTCAGATCCCTCGTTGGATGGCAGCATTTTATAATACAGGGGGTAAAATAACTGGGGAAGCCATCTATTAGATTCAGCACTTTAAGATCAGTCAGAGTAGGGATTTCAGAAGAAATGCCAGAAGTCATTTGTGTGTGTGTATTTCCAAAGAGAAAATTGAGGTGACTAACATTTGAGGCTGAGTGCAGAACTTAAACGCAACATTTTTTCATTCTAGTCTTGGAAAGTAATGTTGATGGGTGTGGGCAGGTCTCTGGCTGACTTTCTGAATTGCCTTTATGTCGGAGCTCCAGCAAGGGATTTGGTGGAATTTCTCATCCTGTTGAGTAGAAGTGATGTTCTAGCCCACATTAGTTTCCTTAGGAAACAGAAGGAAAGGGACTCTTCTCACCAGCAGTTAACACACCCAGTGTTATTTTTGCAGACACTGTATGCAAAATGTTCAGAAAATGAGATATCCATGAGGTTTAGATTTTAATATTTTGAACTGGCTTACTTTATTAGTCTAGCTTCTGCATACTATCTTATGCTTGTGGGTAGTAGTAGTTTTGTTGATGTACAAAGGTTGTTATTTCTATAGTTCGCTCATTCAAATTCAGACATTTTGTAAGTATGGAAGTAGAATGTGTCTGTGCTGTTATTTTGTTTAAGCTGTCTTGAGGTACTTCGGTTAACCGCATGTTCATGGGAATCTGTGTTTGCTCAAATTACCTGCTCAGGTTTCTGGTCAGGTACGCTGAGATGCAGTGTTTCAGCTCAGAACTTTGTTTTGTGTTATCTTTCTCATGGTGTGTTACAGCTGCCTCCCAGAAATTCTGAAATTGGGGTCAAACAAACTCTTCTGATGTTTCTCCTGACATTTGCTAATTTGGCAGTATTTGAGCTGCTACTAAGAAGCATAGAGAAACTGCAGCACTGTGACAGTGCTGTTAAGAACAAGTGATGCACATAGCACTACACAGGTAGATGGATTTTAATCTGCAAGCATATCTGTCATTAATTTTAAGGGCTTTTGGAACCATGGTAGTTCAGCTAAAAGAGGAGAGATAAGCCAAGCAATTATATGGAGCAGCTATATTTGGTGAAGCACATTTCTTGTGATTAGCAGGGGCTCATGAGGCAGGGTAGTGAATTGTGCATCGCAGTGCCAAGTCTGACTGATCCTTCAGGACAGTCACTCATTTTATGTGGACACCTGGGAAATTTCTTAAGGCTTGGATATTTGCTGGGATAAGCTTACGAAAGTTTTTCTTTGGTTGGTTGTTGTAGATTTTAATGCGACAGTGCTTCCCCCCTGCATGTTGGGGAGAACCATTAACTTTCTGCCTCTTTGTGGTTTGTGGGACTTCTTGCTGGGTGTACAGGTGAAAGAAAGTAGCTGTGAGCTTTGAGTGGCTGCAAACTGATATGCTTTTGGGAAGACTGGGGGGGGGGTGGGAATGGCAGGGATTTGAAAGCTGTGAGTTTGACTGACTTGAACTGGGTGGAAAAATTGAGAGATCTGTGGCATCGGTTGTAGGGAGATGAAAAATTTCACCTGTTGCCTCAGCAGTCTACTTAAGAGCACTATCTGGAATGAGTTCCCAAAAAGTTCTTGCAGAGACTAATGGCCAACTGGGAGGAAATGCTGTTACTCCCTGAAGTATCAACAAACTCTCTGAATGTCTACCCAAGCTGGTAAACCAAACAGAAATTATCAATATGCTGCTATGTAAATTCATGGTGTGACAGTATCTTAAACATTATGCAGTTCTGATTACCATCTCTCAAAGTTAGTGGAAGGCTAGGGTAAGTCCAGAGAAGGCCTTCATCAAAGATAGGTCTCAAGGCAGTCAGTATGATTTCTCTCTTTGCTAGAGAGATGACTTACTACAGAAATTGCAGATGTTTTATATGTTCATGAATGGGGTGGGGAAAGGGAGTAGGGGGTGATTCTTCACGGTTCTTGTGTTAACTCAATTGATTCAAAGCAGGCAAAGAGGAGGCACTCTGTCATGCAGCAGTTACCATGTGAAACTCATTGCCACAGGGTGTTATGGATAGCAGAAGTCTAAACAGATTGAAAAATCAATGAAGGACAGATAAGAACTTATTAAAAGTGATGGCCTGGATACAACCTCTGGATTAGGAGATCTTTAACAATTGCACAGGGTATAAGAAGAGAAAAGACTGCCTGTACTTTATTTCACTGCTTTTCCTCCCAGCCTGCCCCCTGCACTTTTTTTTTTTTTTTTTTTTTTATTCTGGCTACTCCTGAAGAACAGAGAGAGAGAGCAAGACCTTTGCTCTCCTAATATGGCTATTTTTATAGTTCAAAACTAGAAAGGAAACTATCTGCGCTGCAGTACGGGCAACTAGTTTTGCCTTGCAGCCCACAAGTAATGTAAAGCACACTGAAATGAAGAGAATTAGGAGCCAAATGCCTCTTATTACCTTAAAATTAAAAATGTGTGTGTTATAAAATGCCTCTGTAGCCTGCTTTCTTCGTTAAAATTCTGACTTAACATGAAGCTGAGCTTGCTAATGAAGCTGTAAGTCACTACACTGTTAGTTATTTTCCTCACTTTCTGTGTTTGGTGCTACAGTCAGTTGAGTTGCCTGATAATGCACCTAATGAGCTGGCTTTGGCATTTTAACTCGAGTAGTAGTGA